CCGGAGGGGCCGGAGGGGCCGGAGGGGCCGGAGGGGCCGGAGGGGCCAGCGGCAGGTACGCGGGGCGCGGTGAGCGCGGGAGTGACAGAGAGGGGCCGGATCCCCGGTGGTGAACTCGCCTGTTCTTTGCCCGAGGCGGCTGCACGGCTGTGAGCGCAAAGAAACTGAAAACTGAGTGAAAATCCCGGATGGTTTTCGCTTCAGATAAGGCAACGTGTTCCTTCTCCCCTGAGCACATGGAAGGCTGGCTGCAACAACTCGAGAAAAGGAATATGCTTTGGAGAGGAGTTAATCTTGCAACTGGAATTAAAAAGAGCAAGCAGATGAGAGAGAGCGCGATTTGAAATGTTAGGAGAAGAAAAAAGGTTATAGCAATGCTGCTGTGTTTCTTTGTCAAAGTCTGTCATACTCGTAAAAACTGTCAAAAAGTGGAATAGATGTTGGTTCATGATGTCAAATTTCAGGCAGTCATTTGGCATCATTGTTACTGTGCAGTGGTATAATGTAACTTCGGGGCACATTTCTTACTGTGTATCCTTTGTGGTAGAATCTTAAGGATGTGTTTGCAGTATTAAATTAGTTCAGTCCTGGTAAACAAAAGTCCTGTTTTAAAAAGTCATTTATTTGAGTATCGAGGGCACAGTCAATTGCTGGGAAGGGTGTTTTGTATAAGGAAACACATAAAGTAACTAGCTGGACACTAAGTTTGACAATGTTTCTGATGTGAGCTGCGAGAGCCCTGGCAGCTGGTTTTAAGCAAGTGCTGGGTTAAACCCGGAGCTGTGTTATCTGTAGCCTTGAAGCTGGAGTTGCTTTGGCTTTGCAGTTGTCACTGGTGTGCACATCGTACCTGCTGCCAGCTCAGCAGAACCCTGGCTGTGCTAAGCAGCAGACTGCAAGGGGCCAGGGGTAAATAGTATTCAGACTGAAATATGAGGATACTTGCTGGTACACTCATTTTTTGGGATATGAACAGCTGTCAACAAAAAATTTGAATGGGATCAACTCGTGTCTCATAGACCATAAAATGGCCATCAGATATCACTAACCTGATGGAAGGATCAGTTGGGGTACAGTAAACACAATTGCCCTGGCATGTTCTCAGCACTAATGTCAGTCTTTACAGTGAGGGGTTGGAGATACCTTTTTTCAAAAATACATTAAGCTTTAGGCTTAGAAAACTGTGTAGCTATTAAAAAAAAATAAACCACTGAATATAGATTACTTACGTGTGCATGTCATACACCAGAAATGCTTCTCTTTCAGGTCATGGAGGTCAAGTGATACTGTCATCAGTGCCCAAATGCTCAGGGAGAAAGCAGCGAGTGGCAGGAGTGGAAGAGGCAGTGAGAGCAGTGTGAGGGGGGATGGTTCTGTTACTGGCAGAGGGCAAACACCGAGGCTGCAGGTGTGTCTGAATTCTAGCGTGGACTTGGCTTTTCTTCTGTGGCCCAGGTCAGGTTCACAAAAACAGTCCATGGAAACCCATGCTTCTGGGATTTCTTGCAGAGATCTGCTTTCCTGAACTGGGACCAAGCCCAGCACATTCTCACAGCGTCTGTTATTCTCCAGATAAAATCGGGAGAGGGATGGAGTCTCACCACGCTTGTTAGCGTTGTAACCTCTTAACCCTGTCTGCCTCAAATGGCAAAATAATGGTGAAAAGGACATTGTCTTACAGCAGCCAAGGGATTGTTTGTAGGGGTTGTTTTTCAGCCTTGCAGCTGAAACAAGTTTAGATAAAATCGTATGAAACAATAGACTGGCACAGTGTTACAATAAAAACAGACCAAGAGACGAAACCTGGTGACCAGTTTGGACTGTGTGCTGTACATAGCCCCAGATAAAGTGATTTAAATCTGCTGTGCAGAATGAGGTCCAGTCCACACATTTTGACTTGGGCTGAGGCAGCTATGATGTTACTGGCACCCTTCAACTTCCTGTCAAAACAATTGTCAAAGCTTTTCCTTAAGTATTGTCCAGTTTGTGTGGAAACAAAACAGACTATGACCACATCCCTTGAGATACAGTTGCAAACATTTGCAGAGTTGTTGTCTAAAGGCTTTTAAAGTGGACCTATCCTTTCTTAATTTTGACACAGTACTTCTGTCCCATCTTAAATAATTTCTTTTCAACTGCAGTGGTTACAATCTGTGTTTGTCACTCATCTTGCTTCATATCACAGTTGCATAGTTGGTTTTAAAAAAGTCTATACAGATTGTTTCTAATCATCTACTAATGATGATTATTTTCCTCTAACTCAACACCAATTTATTATTTGCCTGTCTCCCAACACAGTGACCACATAAGCTGATGTGCTCAGTCATGGGTTACTACTATACTTCTTGAGAATTTTATGTTGATTTTTTATGTTCAGTTTAATTGTTCAAAATTGGTAACTAATTTGCTAGACTACTTTGGTGGTTGGGAAGAAAACCATATCTAATGCATCTATCTGTTCACTGTGTTTAAAAACCCACCAAACCAACCAAACAGACCCCCAAAGAAGCCTAATGCTAAGTAGGGAAGTTTGGTTCCATTTCTGATTATGTGAATCCAGATATAGAGTCCTGATTGTTTAATTAGAGAAAGAACAGTAAAAGACATGGGTTACTCTGTAGCTTATGTTTGTAGAGTCATTGAGGACAAAGAGTAACATTTTTAATTTCCTGGTGCCAAAAATCAGAACTTTTGAGGCAGCATGTTGCATTTTGATCTACTTGTTCTCAGCAAAATCAGTAATTTAGCAGAACAGAACTGTTAATCACAATGAATGTTTTTTAGATTTTAGTGTAGATGTTCACAAACAGAGAACACTGAGGTGCAATCTTAAGGTTATTAGTCCCTTTACGGGTAATTAAGTTTTATTTATGAAAACACTGTGTCCAAGGTTTTGATTCTATTTTCTGAAGGAAATTTGGAAAGCTGGGTAACAATGCACCTTCTGAATGGACTTTCAAAATTAAACTGTCCTTTTAAGAGAAGGATGGCGCCAGAGTTCAGCTTTGTATCTCCAAGTGAAATCTTCTCTACTTTTTGTATTCCAAAAGAGATAAGTATTGCAAACCTTGATTTTGCTATTAGGAAAACCTGTTCTGCAAATTAAGTGCATCTGAGACCTGTACATGAACTCAGGCTGCCATGTGGTCAAGTGTTTAATGAGGGCCTTTGTGTTTCACTCTGCAGTCATTTTTGTCCTGACTGTGGGCTATTTTTAGTTTCTCTTAAGGAAATGTTTGACAGTTTGTGCACTGTTATGAGCCTTTGCTTTTCCATCGGACAGACATTTTCTGGAATGTTATACAACAGGTTATTTGTCCCACTTGAATGTGCTGTTACTTCTTTTGCTGATATGAAACCCATCTAAAAGCATTTTCACTGTTTCAGGCACTTGGCTTCTTGTGGTGTTCTGATGACCAGAACTTCTCCTTTGCAAGTACCTGTAACGAGCCAGACTTTTTCAAGGAATTTCTTCAACATTGCTGCACCACTAGTAAATAAAAGAAAAGAATATTCTGAAAGAAGAATTATAGGGTTTGTATAAAACTGTGGAAAGAGACTTTAAATGCTTATTGTTTTTATATCTGCTGTAATTAATCTGAAACACTAGAAGTTCAAAAGGAGTTAAAACCCCCATCCCTACAGACACATGCCCCTATGACTCTGCCCAATTGGAATGTAAAAAGGAGTTCTGATTTTCAGAATTTGTAAAGATAGGATTTACCAGTCTGAAACTGAGTATAAAAAAGGTAGAAACCCAAAACCCTTGGCCCACAGAAAGAAAGGGCAGAAATAACTGTTCTGTTCCATGACAAAACAAAACCAACCTTGAAAGGGAGTATTAAACGAATAATTTCATCTGGTAAAATGTGAATAAACCAAGAGGTGTGAAAACTCTGTTTCATTCTGTCCCAAATCCATGACAATGTTTGCTCGTACATTATATTGTAGTTCTCAAGATTCTCTTCTTTCTTTAAAAGAAGGAAAACAATTAGTTGTGTGATGAAGAAACTAAGACACATAGAAAAAGATTTTGAAATCCAGTTTGCCTTAGAGCTAGTGGGAAAATTCCAGTTAATTTAACAATGTTGGGATCTGCCCCCAGTCTCTGGTCTACAATAGTATGAATTACTTTTTTATTAGCATAATTTTTTGACTGTACTTAACATTCCTTAATGTGATATTTCTTGAACTGCAACATATCTGCATAGTCACTAAAAAAAGGCCTTTATCCAAGAGTACTCACTGCTGAATACTGTTGAACATATGCTTCATTTTAAAGAATTGTTTATTCCCATCTCTGAGTCAGAAATAAAAATTAAAAACCACAGCTAGTAATACTTTGCCACATTACAGTAGAGTCAACTAAAATGTTGCTATTATGTGTTTCATCTGATTTCAATATCCTGCCTGAGCAGGGAGGTTGGACGAGTTCCAGAGGTCCCTTCCAACCTCAGCCATTCTGTGATGCTGGAAGGTTTTTCCATTGTAGGTATTTTTTAATTAAGCTTTTTAATTTGGGCTGATGTGAGGAACGTAGTGTTCCTCTGTTTAAACCTTATTAATTATAGTACTCGAGTTTTGATACACCTTGTCTTGGTAGCCATGCAGTGTGGATTTTTTTAATGTGGAATGTCTAAGATCGACCTCAAAGAAGACACAGTTGTGCTGAAAAAAACGTTTTATTTGAAATGTACGCACATTTACATGACACTTAAGAGAGAGAGTAGCAGTCACTGTTCACTAACTTTACTGCTGGATGGTGTGTTGTATTTTGCTTCTTTATGTAAAGACTGTCACCAGTTTACTACTTTCTTTTCCTCTTAATTAGCAAAGCTGCATTTTTAATCTCCAGAACCAGTGGTAGTTTTCAGGTGACTGCATGTTCACCTTCCAACTGCCCACGCCATTTATACCATCTTTGATGCTTCAATACTGAATTAAAGTTAAAATACCTTGTAACTGTAACGTCCCTATTTCTGTTTCCAGGTATTCTATGCAAGAAATGTATGAAGTTGTTGCTGTTGTGGAGAATTACAAACTGTTTGTTCCTTGGTGTAAAAAGTCAGACATACTCTCGAAGCGCTCTGGGTACTGCAAAGCACAGCTGGAAATAGGATTCCCTCCTGTAGTAGAGAACTACACATCAGTTGTTACCCTAGTGAGACCACATTTAGTTAAGGTAACTGTTTTTTTTTCCTCTCCTAACTTTCCTTAACATTTGTTCTTGAAATTTGAATATTCCAGGAACATCCTGTTTCAAAACAAAATTGAGGCTGGAAGTTCTTTCTGTGGCTCAAAACTCGTGTTGTTTTTCTTTAAGGATTTTAGATAAACTGGGGGAGAATTTTAATGTGCTTTCAAAACATATCCCGCCACATGGGGGAGAAAGAGGAATCACTTTTTAACTTGCCTTTGCTGGAGAAGATGGCAGCCATTAATGAAAACATAACACTTTTGATTTGTATTTTGTTATAATTTTGTCCAAGACTTTCTAAATACAAAGTTAGTACTTACTTTAAAGTTATCTTTGACATAAAAGTTATCTTTGACAGCACTAGCTTCTGATGCCTTAGCAAAGTTGCTATTTGTCATTACTTTTCTTCTCACAATTTTAATTAATTAATAGGAAAAGCCTTAAACGTAAGTGTAGGATCTGCTGAAGAGCTTGTTATTCAATATATTGATGAGAAAATGGAAGAGTGGATTTAAAGTCAATTTTTTTACAATTAATTTGCTCAGAAGAGAAACAGTTGTATTTCTCCTTTCAGCTTTTCAGTAATTAAGAGAAAAGTAGAAAAGTGTCAAGGCAGAAATTTTAAATGATGTCTGGATCTTCTAAGTATTTGCTTGCCTTATATGTTCAAACCTGTTTTAGTAAAGAATGGCTCAGAACAGACTCCTTACAGCAAAACTGCCTCTCCCTTCGTGTGGCAGATCCTGAATGTTTTGGAGTAATTAGTGGAAATTACAACAATTGGTTGCTGTTCAAGATAATTGTTTGAATATTCTTATTTCTAGGCTTCCTAATAAGAGACACTTAACAGAAAATGAGTTTCTGAAGTACAGGAAAGATGTAAACTGGAAAAGGAATATGCAAAGTGCTTTTATTTGATGCACTTACTGATTCTGGAAAGAAAAAAAGATTTTTTCCCTTTATTAAGAAAGTTGAGTATCTACAATGGGGAAATGTGTGTTTCACATGCTGAGAGCTTTCCTCTTCTGCTCTTCCCTGACAAGACAGGCTTTTTTCTTTCACACAGCTATCAGACTGGCTTACCAACTCTTTTTCCCTCTTAATTCACTCAAAAGAGTGTCTCAGGAAAAAAAACTATAAAACTAGAGAGGTAAACTATTTCTTCAGATTTTCTCCTCCTGGACTCACTGGCCTTTTCTCTGCTGCAATTACCGTTCCTAGAGATTTACATTATGTTCATATAACTGTAGGACATTTCTAGAGAAGCCACTGTGTGCTTGGATTATTTCACTCTCCTCTGAAGTAACTCTGGGCAAAGGCCCCTTGCACGTGGTGACAAAATGGGGATTTTTTTTTTTTTTGTTGCTTAAGGCAGCAGTGCTTGAACAATTGAATAATCGGACTGGTAACAGCAGTCTTTGCTGAGGGGGAAAGCATGGAGTGAATTTGCTACTCATAAGATTGGGAGCAGGGGGGACACAGTGGCAGTTTCCCCATTCTTCCTGCCATTTTGGCAGCAGTAGAGAGGCAAACCCAGCTCATTGTGTCTAATCTTCCCTCTACTCCCTTCTTTCTGTTGTAGAAGTAGCAAGGCTCTGCATCATCTCATTCCTGGAAGGAAAATATAGGTATTTTTGTGCTGTTGATTAGTCTTTGAGATGACTCACCACAGCTTTCCAACCCAAGCAACACCTATTCCTTGTGGGTAGTCTTATTGGAGCAGAGCTGCTTGTGGTAACAATAAGAACTTGTAACTAAAGAAAAAAAAGATTAAAAAAAAAAAGCTACAGAAATTTTCTCTCCAAATTCTAACCCAGTTGAGGTTATGTATTTGGATGATTTTGAAGAATAGGTCTTTCAATCTTTTTCTTTTATAAATATAGCCACACAGAATTAGCTCTATGTCCCAAAAGCAAAATAAGTGAAAATAAAGATCCTATTGCCATGAAAATTATGATGCCAACTAATGCCAATACTTTACTGTTTTAAAGGACTGTTTGCAAGCCCTCCTAAAGCCCTAGCCAAATAGGGCTTGCCTGGAACCAAAAGGCAGAGTATGAGCTTGAGTGTATGGTCTACTGACTTTGTGGCAGCTCTTGGTCACAACAGGATCTTGTGACAGAGGATCTTCGGAGTTTGTCTTCAAACACATTTGTCTTGGGGCTAAGCATTCCTATGGCCCAAAGCTACCAGTCCATATAATAATAATAATGGCCCATCTTCGCGAACGAAGATTTGGGGAAAGGTCTTTTACCTTTCAAGCCTGCGCGATGGATTTTTTTAGGTGAGACACAGCCTGCGCTGAACTGAGCCCACCCTTTAATCCTAAGGTTCATCTGCCGGGGCCAAGCAAGCTTGGACAATGGCAGTGAGGTCCTCAGGACGTAGGTTTGTTTAGAGTGACCTTCTCATAGATGGATGGCCACACAGGGCTAACGGGCTCCATCTGCCCGGGGGACCTGGAATCGAACCTGGGTCGCAGCGGTGAGAGTGCTGCATCCTAACCACTAGGCCACCAGGGGTCCCTCTAAAACATTCTATACATGTAATAAAGTATATCTACCTAAAACCCCAGTAAATATCCATATCCTTTGCTTAAAGCAGTGTTGTTCAAAATCCTGGTACATAACTAGCATGATGTTCCATGTGTCATGCCACAGCTCTGTTTCATGATGCTCAACACACAAATTTTCCCCCTCCCTTAAAAGGGATTCAGTTATTTTGCCATAAATGACACATATGGGACCTCATGCTGGCTGTGCTGTGAGAACAGTTTCATCTTTGCCATGACCATCACTGCCTAAGAAATGCAAATGCAAACTTCAGTAATACCAGTTTGTCACATTTGTAAAAGCCTAATTGCAGCTTGACTTTTTAAACTTTATTTTAGGCATCGTGCACAGACGGAAAACTATTTAATCACTTGGAAACTGTGTGGCGTCTGAGCCCAGGTGTCCCTGGATATCCAAGGACATGTACATTGGATTTTTCAGTAAGTATCGTAATTAAGGAGCAGTGCCTTAACTAGAAACACTGTCTTCAACTGTGTGTTTTTTTTTTTTAATGGCCAGTACCTTTTGTTAAACACAAATACACAGAAAACAAGTTAGTTTTAGTCAATACTATCCAAAAACTTGACCACCCAGAAACCACTACAGTGTCCTTTAGAGACAGGAATCTTCTGTATGGGCACCTCTCACCATACGGTTCTAAACACGCTGAAGTTTTCAGACAGTCAAATACAGAGGGAGAAATGCTACACATAGTTTGCTGTTTCCTTTTATTATTCTACAGCCCAAGTTGGGAGAGCACCTACTTTCTGGTACCATCTGTCCTGTTGGGCCTGCAGTTTGGTCAATTTGATTTCCTGGCTTTCAGTTTTACTCTGTCATGTATTTTAAGTCTTACTTTTTCCTTTTGGCATAATAGATTTTTCCTGTCTAATCTTTCTAATCTGTGATGGGATATCACTGTAGCCCAAACTATTGCTCTTTAAATCCAGTACCTGATTGAGCCTGATTTTACTCCCAGACAAGTTGTTTTCCACTCCAGTTATTGCTTTTCAACATCTGTTTAGTCTGCCATCACATTTTTTTCTTGCATTTTATAGCATAAAGTGTAGGAGCTGCATTAAGCACATAATTAAGCTGGGGATCACAACAGGCTGCAAAAGTGCACAGAGATGGGTTAATCCTACTGCCATCTACTGGACTACTCTACTTTGAAAATTATCTTCAGTAAATAGGAAAAAGCTTTTGGCGTATTTTGAAACTAGCACATTAACATCCTTGGGTTAAAAACTTTCAGCTTATTGCTGTATTTCACTTCTTATGGTTCAAGAATAAAAATTAATTTAGTGGCACTCAAAAAAATACATTTCTCATAGGATTTGTTCATGATGTTTGCACATTATTTGCTCTTGATACGTGAATTTCTCCAGGGAAATAAGTGCCAGTTCCTGCTACTAGCCAGTACATAAGCTAGCTTTTAACTCAAGCCCTAAATCTCAAGCCATAAAAACCCAAGTTGAGAAAACTTGAATTAAACAACTATTTAAACCTATAATCTAAATACAGACTCTGTGAGGAAACACACAACCCACCCTCATACCAAAGCCACGTTTTTGACATTTCAGGTCACCTAAAGGCAGTCAAAACTGCACTTGATAACGACATTTTCCCTGTCTCGGGGGAACACTATGGACACATCTCACTGCTCACCCCTTTCTGAGGCAGCAGCAGCCAGTGCAGCCAGCTGAGCTGGGGCTGCCTCCCCAGGGCCTTAACCCTTGCTAGTTCCTGCCCTGCTGGTCCTGCCTCTGGGCACATGCACACAGGGATGATGAGCATTTCACAACCAACTCCTCAAAACACGCTGTGCAATTACAGATAGTCGAGAGAAAACTCTGATTTCAAGAACACTTGTTTGCTTTAGAAAATGTTACTGTAGCTGCTGTATCCTGTTTTGCCAGCCTGATTCCAGGAGACATACATATCCAGCAGGGAACTTTCCTAGTTTGGTTTCAGCTCTGAAATGATTTGGTACATAGACTGAAACACACCACCACTCTTACCATCTGCAAACTTCATAAGTGTATGTATATAAGTGTATCACACCTCAAGATTTATGAAATTCCTGAGCATGATGCCAGATTCATTATCCCTGCTCTGCAGAACTCTGCATGCCCTGAACAACAGGTCTCTGACTTACAAAATGCACATTAATTTTACTGTTGCTCGAGGTCAAGCAAATGTAAATGAAGCTACACTTGGCTTTTAGGCCAAGTCATTTAGTTACTTCTGTTCTACAGCTTTGTAGTTAATGTGCATTGCTCATAAGGAATTTGGGAGAAGCTGTATTGGCATTGAATCTGCTGATTTCTCAGGAATGACACAAATACTTAAATCTCAATCCATTCCATTGACTGCCCATGTCAGGTTGGGAGTGGGAGCTGTTCAGGTGAGAGATACAAAACCCTCCAAATCTGCAGTTTTAGTTAGTAAACTGCTTGTTTGAACATACCAGAACTACTGCCACCAATAAGGACTGATTTAAAATATTGGTATTTAATAAGTAACTATTTCAAGCTGCTTTTAAGTCTCTTGGTTGTGCTCCAGCTTACCTGTAAGTCTGCTGTCTTGTCATGCAGGATTTTTCTTCAGACGTTTAGTCCCCCAAGTGAATTCTGTGCACAAAGTAAGTTATTGTTCGTCAGTAGTTTTTCATTATCCCAAATCTGTTTTGTGATGCATTATTTATTAAAGACAGTTTAGGTAAATGATTACTTCAGAGAGCTGAATGAAAGGATTCTTCTAATTCAAAAGCCCAGGGGAACAGTCCTGAGACCAAGGAACACAGCTTTTCTTCACAGACACACTCACACTTACCTCAGAAAAAAACTGTTCTTTCTCCCACAACTTACTTGAAAATTTCATTGGAGATTCTTTAATAGAGTTGTCTATTTGTAACAGCATTTTATCACAACAGTAGATAACACGAAAAATAATTCTTCTCTATTGTCTTAAACAGGTTTCTTTTGAATTTCGTTCACTTCTACACTCAAAACTGGCTACACTGTTTTTTGATGAAGTGGTAAAGCAGATGGTTGCTGCCTTTGAAAGAAGAGCATCCAAACTCCATGGCCCAGAAACCAGCATACCTCGGGAGCTGATGCTCCATGAAGTTCATCAGACGTAAAGAGACAACTGTAACCACCTCATGTATAACCTTGTTTGTACACTTCACTTGTACTAAGTGCCGTGCTCCTCCTTGGGGGCATCTATTTCTTATCTGAGCTGTGTGTAAAGATTTTATACTGTACCAAACATACCTGCTCAGCCAGACCTGTATAGAAAGTTCAAAAGCTGCAATCAAGTGCAACTTAAAGCCTTATCAGTAACAGGCAACTGGCAGCTCCTGTAACCCAAGATATCTCAGGCTGCCGTTAACGTGCCAAACGGCTCCTGCAATCACGGTCCAAGTTCTGCCTTATCCAAGCTCATGATTTTCTTTTAGCACTGTAACATATTAACTCAAGTTTAAATTATTAGTAGTGTGGCTGTAATTCAACAGCATCAACTCAGCCAGCTCTGGCCAAGCCAAGGGAAACCGACATTCTGGCTTCACAGAGAATGGAACACTTTGCCAAGCACCGAGTGGTGGGTGCTTTCAATCCAGATGAATGGCAAAGGTGAGTCGGGAATCTCCGGCTGCTCCTGAACTGACCTGCAAGTGCCATAGAACACCCTCAACTGTCAGAAACTAAATGCAGGGGATACACATAAGGAGTACTGTAATCTGAGTGCAGCAGTCTCAGCTACAGCCAGGGGTTCCCAGCAGATCCGTCTGGGCTCCAGGCACCGATCACTTTGTAGTACATTTGGCAGGCTGAGCCTGCCCCCTTCTCCACTCCTTCACCCTTAAAGTTGCACTGCAGTTAGTTACTCATCTAATGCAAGCAGTTCCACACTGTAAAACAAGGAAGTTTTACCTCTTTGAGAGCAAGGGACCACAGTACTGTCCTCCCTGGAAGAAGGGAACAAGATGTCCTCCGCTCCCCGCAGCCAAGCACACCCACAGCCAGCTGCCATTAAAAAGCATACAAGGGCACTAAAACCCTTAGTTCTTAGGGGTTTTTCATTACTATACTACCATTCTATTATCAGCCCATTATGATAGCACCAGCTGTCTTGATTAAATCCACATTCAGTACTTCTGTCCCTGGCGTAAATATTCTTTCCAGTCTCTGAAGAAACATGGGTCAATAGGTTTGAACTATTTTAAATCCTCACTGTGTGCTGCCTCGCATTACCCAATTTCCTTACTGAAATTAGGTGAAGCTCTAGGCCAGGTGCTGAAGCTGGTCCTTTCTCTAAAGTGTCTGTAACCCACGTGGTTACTACAGGACAGCATGTTAGGTAGCATAAGAAGGTATGTTTCAGAATAAAGACAGCCCTCAAACAGTTTCAGATTGTTTACTTTTCCAGAAAGAGCAATTGGCATGTCACATGTCCCCTCTGTGAAGGACAGTTATTAAGGGCAGGAAGCTGAGGAAAGTGACAGCTGGATTGAGGTCAGTTTTACAGCACTGAGAAATTGTACAGCAATTTTGTTTGTTGAGGCATCAGAGATGAGCATACTGAGGTTTGGGAACACCATTGTTCTGCAGTTTCGAAAGCAGACGACTTTACACATCACTGATATTAGCTTTGTCAGGTCAAAGAACCCAGTAAGTGGCAAAGCAACATTTCTAACGGTAAAACAGCATCTAGTGCAAAATAACTAAATTCTGCAACCCATTACCAGAAAGGAAGACAAGACTGGAAGGCTCAAGGTGAGGAGGTAACCACATATTACACCTGAGCAAAGGAACTGTTTAAAAACCCTCCGAACCCTTTCTTAGGCAAGACTTACCTGTTTGATACCCTCAGGGCACTTCCCTTCCTCCGAACTGTGAAAGGTGCACTGGGCCTGTTCAAGCACATGAAACAACCAGCATAGACAGGGCAAAATAAAGCCAGTGCACGTGCCTTGTTTTCAGAGCATTGTTTAATATTTCAAAGAACTGTAGTGCAGTTCAGCTTAGGTATTTCTTACCAAAATTAAAGTCACTTGCATTTCTGAGAAACATTCTAGACAAAGGAATGTTTCTCAGCGTGAAATGCCCTGTCATTTTTTCAAGCAATAAGTGTCTACTTCTAGTAAATCTTAGAGGCAGGCTGTCCAGGCTCTCCCATAACTATGGCAGATGAAAAAGGTGATACATTTTTGTAACTTTTGAGCAGTTTATTACATAAAGGTCACATAACTCTATTTGCCTACTTTGTACACAATTGTCTAGTCTCACGCACAGTGGCTTCCAAGTTCTTCCTAGTACTGGCAAGCACCAAGAAATTCTGTAATAGAATATCAAGTGCCTTAATTAAGTTCAAATCAGGACCTTGGTAGATGGATCTTGCACCCAGTTATCAGGAATGTACAAATGTCTTTATTCAAAAAATACAAAATAAATTATCTGTAGGCATGGACAATGACTGTAAACAATTACACGTGTGTTAAATGAAATCCAGTAACTGATGGTTACAGTGATTTTTCAACACCAGCCTCACTTCAGTCACTATCCACCCTCTGACACTGATAGCTCAAGTTTTTGAAGTCAGAACTGTCAGTCTTCAACAGCACAGCTCATGATGCATCCCTACCCCAGGAATTAGAACATGCCACCTCCCATTCCTCCGCCCATGCCACCCATTCCTCCCATTGCCGGCTCCTTCTCTTCTTTGGGAACCTCAGTCACCACTGCTTCTGCTGTTGATAGGAGAGACGCGACACCGGCGGCGTCCATCAGAGCAGTTCTCACAACCTAAAAACAGGGAAGAAATAGCTTAATGCCTGCTGGCTATCACGGGAGGTGGGAGGAGAAGCAGCTGAGAATTAAGACTTTCAGGTTACCTTTGTTGGGTCTATGATTCCTTTTTCTACCATATTTACAAAGTCCCCAAGCATTGCATCATAGCCAACTTCTGACGGGCTCTGCAGGATTTTCTCAACTATCAATGATCCTTCAACACCAGCATTCTTTGCAATAGTCATTGCTGGGATTTTCAGTGTTCTCTTGATTATGTCAATGCCTGCAAGAAAAAGGGTGGTTAGAGCTATGTTTTGCATACACTGCTCCCACTGCCAAGGCCTGCCTGCACGAGCTGCTGGAGATCAATACAGAGAACACTCTGAGCAAAAACATCATCTATTCGTATCAGTTCCAGGAGGAAAGGTTCTCTGCTACTTGACATTTGTCAACAAACGAAATCTTTGCAGGATATTCACATACATTTTAGTTTTACTACATGTTGAAGAAGTCAGGAGTACTCTTTATGTGTAACATGGCACAAAGCCTTTTTCCATTTGATTTGCCACACAATCTCTTAAGCATTATGAGATTTTTCATCTGTCTGCAATGGCTGGGAACAGTCAGCTCTCAACTCTAACCATTTGCCACTCTCTGCAGGGAGCACTGCTGCTTTACTGTTACTGGGTTTTTCACAGTCAAGTCAGGCACTCAGTGAAACCTCCTTCCCCTTGAAAATCAGAGACCATCATACCAAGGGGGTGTGAGGTTCCTGAGATCAAATAACCAAAAACTCACTGGAAGCAATCTGCATTTCATCTGAGAAAGCCTCAAGTCAGGAGAAAAGCTACTCGCAACACTTCCACACACATTCCAGTAACTTCCTTACCAATTTTCTGATCTTCATTGGCTGGGGTTAAGGCATCTAACGCTGGAATGCAGCGGAGCAGTGCGCAGCCACCTCCCGGGACGATGCCCTCCTCCACGGCAGCGCGCGTCGCGTTCAGCGCGTCAGTGACTCTGTCCTTCTTCTCGTTCACTTCAACGTCACTCGTGCCACCGACCTACAAGCAGCAAGGCACAAGTCAAGGTCCACACGAGGAGCCCGGGTGGGAGAGCACTGCTGGCTGAACACTGCTGCCCCCAAATTAAACAACCAAGAGCACTGACAAGTGCCAGAAAGCCAACCCAGCCTCTCCCGTGCTCACAGTCTTCTGTACCTCAGCAGCCAAGAAACCTAAACACAGTTTTAGTTCATTATCTCTTAATACCTTCAATACTGCCACTCCATCAGAGAGTTTGGCCAATCGCTCATTGAGTTTCTCCTTTTCATATTCACTGGTGGTGACCTCAAGCTGCTCGATAATTTCTTGAATGCGCTTTTCAATCTGAGCCTTTTCACCCTTCCCCTTCAGAAGCATGGTGTCATCTTTGGTCACAATGACCTCTCCCACTTTACCGAAGTCGTGAGGCTGAATATCTTCCACATTTAGGCTCAAACCCTCTTCTCCAAACACCTGAAAGAAATTATGTGAAAAGCTGGAATTCACAGTTCCCCATACATCAATTTTTTATCTACAGGCGCACGAACACATACAGCTAATGGTGCAAAATAATCACACTACTGCAGTTGAACAACACTCTTCCCTTCTCCTAAAGGAGTCCAGGCACGCAGGTACCTCACAAACTGACCCTCACAGAATGGAAAACGAGCAGCTTCTCACTCGTGCCTGACTCGTGTAGCTCACTGATTCAAAGTGCCTGGGAAGTAGTGTTACAGAGTCCTCATAGAATATCCTGGGTTGGAAGGGCCCCACAAGGATCATCCAAGTCCAACTCCTGGCCCTGAACAGGACAAACCCATGAGTTACACCATGTGCCCCAGAGCATTGTCCAAACACTTCTTGAACTGTGGTGCTGTGACCACATCTCTGGGAGCTTGTTCCAGTGCCCAACCACTCTCTGGGTGAAGAACCTCTTCCTAATATCCAACCCAAACCTCCCGACACAGTTTCCTCAGGTTCTGTCACCGGTCACCTCAGTGTATTTTGAGAAGTTAAAAACATTGGCACTTCGCAGACTTTAAAATAGTTTGCTGGTTTGTTACTCTGTGCTGCAGTTAGCTTAAACACAAAGTTTTATTTCAATAGCCTCCTTTGTGTCCCAGTATTGTGCCATGATTTTGAAGTGTGTGTAACAAAAAGGCACATAAAGGGACATTAATCAGTGCACCAAGTGTATGCAAAGTTTAGTGCTAAGAAAACCATTCAATCAATTCTACACGTTTTCAATTATTATATTTGCCACATTTGAGTTCAGGCAATTGTGAGACAATCAGTTTTATAAGGCAGTAAAAAAGCTTTGCTATATTTCTAAGATACTGTTTTGGAGTTCCTCCTTCCCTTTAACAGCCTAAATCCTGCAAGGAAATCATGTGTGACTTCAGTCAGTTACACGGATGTCCCGCTCGTGGTTGGCCAGGGCTGTATTACACAGCAATTTTCAGTGTCTACATTTTAAAAAAACAGGAAGATTCTAAAATTAAAATTACTGTTACATTTTTGAAGGACAGAACCCAGCCTGCAGCCCATAAAATACAAGCCAAGGACCTAAAAATACAAACTAATTTCCCTCCTTAAATATCATTAACATTTCTTAGAGCAAAAAGCTACTTAAAACATCATTACTTACAGCACCACCGGTAGCAATCGCCATATCCTTAAGCTGGTTTTTCCTGTTGTCACCAAAACCTGGTGCTTTTACAGCAACAACCTGAAGGCCAACCTTCAGCCTGAAGAGAAAAATTCAGAGCAACATTCCACATATGTTCAGAGAACGAGTCTAATTACTAAATCCAATTATTTCAGTACAGCTCTACCAATCAAGCAAACAAAGACACTCATGAACTGAGCTGATTTTGCTCAAAAAAGTAGTTAAGACACAACTGAGTTTCTGTCTGAGTTGACACAAAGTATGGTGATGTCCAAAGCTGCTGTTTCTTTGGCACAGACAAGAGAACAAACAGCACTACACCACAGAAATATTAAACACGCTCTCTTGTATGTACTCCTTTAAAAGGATGGAAAAAAGAAAAAAAAGCAGTACTTGTCTAAAAGAATGGATTTTAAGCCTCACCTGTTCAAGACTAGAGTGCTGAGAGCTTCTCCATCAACATCTTCAGCAATAATGACTAAAGGTTTCCTGTTAGCATTGGCGATTTCAAGAGCTGGAACTATGGACTGTACACTAGAAATTTTCTTTTCACTGATTAAAACATAAGCATCCTGGAATTCACATTTCTGCCCTGCAGAAACAACACACATTATCTAAACAATTCCATTACAAAAACACCAAGCATTCTCTTAACTTCAACAGCTATTTTGGAGCAACAGCTGCACTTTTTAAATTGCATTAAAAAATGAGATAAATTCTTTTCTCCAAGACCCCACCTTCAGTTCTGCATTGTTCTGCTATTGTTCTTGCAGGTCCAGCCTGATGTTGGCTGTCCACTCTTTGTGTAGAGAGGAAAACAAACCCCCAAAACTCCAAGTTTTTACTAAGTTAAAATTTCCTGATGGGGAAGGACCCCCTGCCCTATTTGCTGTGGCACAAGCATAAGGGACTGTAAAGTATAATTATAATTATTTGTAATTTACAAAATTACAAAATTATTGTAATTTACCATTTTAAGATATATGACAGGGGTTATTGGTAACTCACCTTTGGTTGTATTAATAAAATATGGAGAGATGTAGCCTCTGTCAAATTTCATACCCTCAATGATTTCCAATTCATCATTTAGAGTTTTTCCATCCTGTTTAGATGCAAGAAAGTCTACGTTAAAAGATCCCTTCTTTGTTACCAAAAGCACAAGTATAATTTTAGCTTATTATGCACAACAGAATGACAGCCTCTGAACCACACACCAGTTTCATATGCTTCCTTTCCAAATAGAAGAACAATGTTCAAACCCTGACCTAAGGGAGATGCGGACGAATTGTAGTGGGGAGACCATGTGAGCAGCAGCAGCTACATCCCATGAGACAAAAAACCAGCCCTAACTGGAGAAAAGACAGTCACTTTGCACTTAGTCTGTATGTTGGCCATTCTTACCTTGACAGTGATCACACCCTTTCGTCCAACTTTTTTCATTGCATCAGAGATTATATTGCCGATTTCCTGATCTCCATTTGCTGATATCGTGGCAACCTGAAACAGTAAAGCATTTCATCTCATTTCACAATACAAGTAATTTGTTTTCCACTATAAGGAAAACCAGAATAACCATTTTCAATTAAAACATGACAAGACACAGCAGCTGACTGTAGCACACCCACCCTAGGACCCAAGATCTCTGTTGGAAGGGCTCACAGCTCTTGGACAGCTCCAGCACAGGGCCAGATTCCCTGCACTGGGCTCACACACAGACCATCTGAATCTGCAGCCAGAGAAAGGTATAACTCACAGAGACCAACACACCTGGTGCCCAAGACCCAGCTGGGCACCCACCTCAACCTGAGTGATCTGCCACATTCTCCAAACTCTGCCGTCACCTTCCATCCACAAACACAGCTCTGCTCTTATCAATTCCTCCCAAGTACACAAATTTATGTTTAAAGACCACACTTAGGAATGAAACTTGAAGGTGAAAAAAACAACCTAATTCTGAACCAACTTGTAGCAGTGTAATTGAAGGCAGAATACTGGAAATGTTATAATAG